TGTCTTCTGTTATATATTTATAGACTACATGTGTATACATATGTGGTTTGTACGTATATGACTTAAGTTCGCGACGCCAACTAATTTATGTAATATGCTTTGTAAAGTATAAATAAATAAAAAATGGTTCGTGCGATTATTCACTTCCCAGCCCTGGGCTTGTCAGCCCTGGTGTGTTGGAAGTGAACTCAGCACGCACGAACTTAGTTGTCAGTTCCACTGGAGCTGGAAAGATAAAATGGAAGGCCCGAACTGCAGCTTCGTGTGCAGCAACAGCAACAGCAACAGCAGCAACAGCAACAGCGGCCCTCCAGAGAGACAGCGAACGGAAGAGAGCCGACATCGAACCAAAATGTTGGTTCGAACTCGGTTCGATCGCCGCTCGGGACGCCAGAGCCAGCAAGAGCAGCAGCGGCTGTAACAGCAACAGCAGCTGCAGCGCCGCCCGCCAATACGACAGCGACGCAGCAGCCGTTAACAGCAGCAGCCAGACAAAGTCTGTTAACTGCTCTGTTATCCGGCCCGCCTGATCAGCAGCAGCAGCAGCAGCAGCAGACAACAGCAGCGGCAGCCCAAGCTGCAGTGAAGCCAGCCAAAATCACCACCACTACAGCGACAACAGCAACAACAAGAGCAGCCAACTCGGACCAGCCATCCACCTCTGCGGCAGCGGCCGCCAAGCGAGCCGCCCGCTCCCCACTAAAGCGCGCCCATGCTGACGTCGACGAAGAAGAGGAAGATGATGACGACGAATACGACGAGCATGGCGACGCCATGGCCGTGGACAGAGACGGCGACGATGACGACGCCAATAACGCCTTGGCTAAACGACGGCCACGCCAGCAGCTGTTCCTACAGCATCAATACCAGGCAAGAACAAAAATGCAGCCAATGCCCAATAATGCCCCTGTTCCTGCCCCCCTAAATGCCCCTGCTTCTGCCCCCTCAAATGCCCCTGCCTCTGCTCCAACTTTAGCTACAGGTGCCCAATTAATTCGCCCACACACCCCCGCAAATGCAGCCAATTGTGGGGCGAATATTGCCAGCAGCAACAGCAAAAGTAAAAGCAAAAGCAACAACAACAACAACAACAACAGCATCAGCAGCGGAAGCAGCAACAGCAGCTACGACAGTAGAAGAAGAGGGGGTGCCCCCCTCAGCCTGCATCTGCCCTCCAGCCTTCACGTTCCCACTGCCAGGCAACTGTTGGAGATGCGGCGGCAGAACCAGCAGCTAATCCCCCCACCCATAATCCTGCCATCGGTCCCAAACATAATGCCACTGCTGGACCTGATTCGCGAGGATCCAAGGGTTAGCAACCTACACTATACGACGAAGCTCATCAGCCGAACTGGGATCCGCATCCAAGCCAAGGATATGGCCTCCAGAGACGCCATCATGGCAGTCCTGGGCGACGGACAAATTGTCGGCGGCCATTACACACACCAGCACAAACATGACCGTGGGTTTCGGGTCATAATCCGACAGCTGCACCACTCTACAAGCCCAAACACCATTAAAAACGAGCTGGAATTAAATGGTTATACGGCAAGATTTATTCGCGTCGTACGCAGCAAAAAAGATGGCCAGCCGCTCGACTCTTTCGAGGTGGAAGTGGCCCCCAAATCGGACAGCAGTCACTTGGATGTCCTCCAGCTGACCCAACTGGGCACCCAGACGGTCACAGTGGTGAGACAGGCCAAGCCAGTGGATCCTGCGCAGTGCCACAAGTGCCAAGCATTTGGTCACACCCGCACATACTGCAGACGCGCCTTTGTCTGCATGAAATGTGCGGGCGCACACATGACCATTGCATGCGCCAAGCCTCGGTCCGAGCCACCGAAATGTGCCAACTGCCAGGGCAGTCACATCAGCGCCTACAAGGGATGTCCCTCCTTCAAGGCAGCAAGGGGCCGTCTCCTGTCCCACAGGGTGACGAAGCAGGAGATGCGACGCAAGAACGCCGAGCTTGTGCATCACAAGCGGCAGCAGTGGCACCAGCACCAACTCCAGCAGCCGACAGAAGCTGCAAATCCAAGGCCACGACAGCAGCAGCAGCAGCAGCAGCAGCAGCAAGTCCAGACGCCAGCCAACCAGCGCATGCGCAATCACCAGCAGCAGCAACAGCAGCCAATCATGACGCCAGCCGACCCCAGGCTCAGACGACGACAGCAGCAGCAGCAGCAGCAGCAGCAGCAGCCATTTATGACGCCAGCCCAGACGCCACTACAGACGCCAGCTACTCCAGCTGACAGACGACAACAACGCCATCTGCATCAGCAGCAGCAGCTACATCGGACGCAGCGCCAGGGCAGGCAACAACTACAGCAGCAGCAGCAGCAGCAGCAGCAGCAGGCCGCCAATCCAAGCTCCAGACGCCAGACACAGCGACAACAACGCAACGCCGAGCCGATACAGACCCATGGATCATGCAGCCAGGCGTTGGGAGAGAGCATGAAAAGATTGGAGAAATTAGAGTCTCGTATGGAGGAAATATTCTCTGTACTTACCCGATTAATCCATCTGCAGACTCCGCCAGCAGAGGTAGCAACAACGCCAGCAGCCCAAACGGCAGCGCCGCCACAACCAGCTCCTCCAGCAGCAGAAACTCCAGGTCCTGCAGCGACACCGGAACCTGTGAGGGGAATGTCCTCTCCTCATCCATTACAGCGTTTCAGCACGGAAACGGTGCCGCCGCGCACCTATATCTTTGACCCGGCGCCAGAACCAGAGCCAGACAGCGACGAGATGGAAGATGACGGGGACGAAGCGTGGACAGATGACTCCTTAAATGGGGTTGAAGCGTACCGTCGGACCCTGAGGTACCATCTCGACAACCTTGTATCCTGGCAGGGATACAACTAAGGAGCCAACTGTCCCCACTCCAATTTTTGAACTGACCTGCAAAATTAAATCACAATTAAAATCCACTAAAATCACATCTAAATACACAAAACAGCAAATAAAAATAAAACACTTACCTGCAGGCGACAGGAAATCAGCAGCAACAACAGATTTTAATCCACAGCGCCAACGCAGCCACTCCAGCGAACCTGAAAATAAAAGAAATCAATTAAAACAAAACATACAAACAGCAAAATCCATCAAAAAAACTCATCTGCAGGCGGCCGGACCAGAAGCCGTTCGAATCTGGTCGAGTTTTGGACACGGGGCGCCCAAAAACTGCCACGCCCTCCGCAAATCCTCACGCCTTCACAATCTCCAAGCGGATACATATCCTTCTGGTGCAAGGAATCTGAACTGGANCAGACTCCGCCAGCAGAGGTAGCAACAACGCCAGCAGCCCAAACGGCAGCGCCGCCACAACCAGCTCCTCCAGCAGCAGAAACTCCAGGTCCTGCAGCGACACCGGAACCTGTGAGGGGAATGTCCTCTCCTCATCCATTACAGCGTTTCAGCACGGAAACGGTGCCGCCGCGCACCTATATCTTTGACCCGGCGCCAGAACCAGAGCCAGACAGCGATGAGATGGAAGATGACGGGGACGAAGCGTGGACAGATGACTCCTTAAATGGGGTTGAAGCGTACCGTCGGACCCTGAGGTACCATCTCGACAACCTTGTATCCTGGCAGGGATACAACTAAGGAGCCAACTGTCCCCACTCCAATTTTTGAACTGACCTGCAAAATTAAATCACAATTAAAATCCACTAAAATCACATCTAAATACACAAAACAGCAAATAAAAATAAAAATAAAAAACACTTACCTGCAGGCGACAGGAAAACAGCAGCAACAACAGACTTTAATCCACAGCGCCAACGCAGCCACTCCAGCGAACCTGAAAATAAAAGAAATCAATTAATACAAAACATACAAACAGCAAAATCCATCAAAAAACTCATCTGCAGGTGGCCGGACCAGAAGCCGTTCGAATCTGGCCGAGTTTTGGACACGGGGCGCCCAAAAACTGCCACGCCCTCCGCAAATCCTCACGCCTTCACAATCTCCAAGCGGATACATATCCTTCTGGTGCAAGGAATCTGAACTGGAAGCCACTAAACGATGATGCAGCCGGAGCTGATAATCTGAAAATAAAAAGAAACAATTAAAATAATAAACAAACACATAAAACAGCAAATACACACACTCACCTGCAGGCGGCCGGACCAGCAGCCGTCTGCACATGCTTGTTGCCTTAAAAATGCCACGCCCTTCACAAATCCTCACGTCGATCATCCTCTCCAACTGGAATCATTTTTCTAGTCCATGGAGTATGTCCTAGTCGAAGATTTTGCCGACTCTAACCAACGACGCAGCCGCGGCAGAGAAACCTGAAATAAAAAGAAAACCACAATTAAAATAAAATACAAAACAAACCAACAAATACAAATACCTACATGCAAGCGGCCGTCAATCAACAGCAACAGCAGCATCCAATCCTTCAGCGACGACGCAGCACCTGCAGCAAAACCTGAAATAGAATAAAAGAAAACTGATTAAATCAAAATATACAAACAATACTCCATCTAAGCACTCATCTGCAGGTTGCAGGGCCAAAAGCCGTTTGGTTACGGTCGAGTGCTGACACAGGGCGCCCAAAATGCCACGCCCTCAGCAATATTTTCGCCTTCATCCTCTCCAAGCCCAGTCGCTCCCTCCTGGTCCAAGGAAAGCCCGCTGGATGCGAGTATAGGCGGCCATTTCCTCAGCTGAGAAACCTGAAATAAAAAGAAAAAGTCAATTAATTACCAAAAAATACGCAAATAAAACAACAAAAACACATACTTACCAACCAGCAGCAGCAGCAGCAGCAACAGCACCCAATTCAACATCGAAGACGCTGCCCTGCACAGAAATCTGAAATAAAAAATGAATAAATAAAAGCAAATGCAAAAACAAATGTCAACAAATACATATTCTCACCTCCAGGCGGCCGGACCAACAGCCGTTTGACCGTGGTCTGATGCTTGACACGGGGGCGCCCAAAAATGCCACGCCCTCAGCAATTTCCACGCCTTCATCCACTCCAAGCCCAGTCGCTTCCTCCTGGTCCAAGGAAAGCCCGCTGGATGCGAGTATAGGCGGCCATTTCTTCAGCTGAGAAACCTGAAATATAAGAAAGAAATCAATTAATTACCAAAAATATATAAATAAAACAACAAAAACACATACTTACCAACCAGCAGCAGCAGCAGCAGCAACAGCACCCAATTCAACATCGAAGACGCTGCCCTGCACAGAAATCTGAAATAAAAAAAAAATGAATTAATTAAAGCAAATACAAAAACAAATGTCAACAAATACATATTCTCACCTCCAGGCGGCCGGACCAGCAGCCGCTTGACCGTGGTCTGATGTTTGACACGGGGGCGCTCAAAAAATGCCACGCCCTCAGCAATTTTTACGCCTACATCCTCTCCAAGCTTCCTCCTGGTCCAAGGAAAGCCCGCTGGATGCGAGTATAGGCGGCCATTTCTTCAGCTGTGAAAACTGAAATAAAAGAAAAGTCAATTAATTACCAAAAATATACAAACAAAAGAACAAAAACACATACTTACCAACCAGCAGCAGCAGCAGCAGCAACAGCACCCAATTCAACATCGAAGACGCTGCCCTGCACAGAAATCTGAATTAAAAAAAAATGAATAAATAAAAGCAAATGCAAAAACAAATGTCAACAAATACATATTCTCACCTTCAGGCGGCCGGACCAGCAGTCGCTTGACCGTGGTCTGATGTTTTGACATGGGGGCGCCCAAAAACACCACGCCCTCAGCAATCTTTACGCCTACATCCTCTCCAAGCCCAGTCGCTTCCTCCTGGTCCAAGGAAAGCCCGCTGGATGCGAGTATAGGCGGCCATTTCCTCAGCTGAGAAACCCGAAATAAAAAGAAAAATCAATTAAATACAAAAAATATATAAATAAAACAACAAAAACACATACTTACCAACCAGCAGCAGCAGCATCAGCAACAGCACCCAATTCAACATCGAAGACGCTGCCCTGCACAGAAATCTGAAATAAAAAATGAATAAATAAAAGCAAATACAAAAACAAACGTCAACAAATACATATTCTCACCTACAGGCGGCCGGACCAGCAGCCGCTTGACCGTGGTCTGATGTTTGACACGGGGGGCTCCCAAAATGCCACGTCCTCAGCAATATTTACGCCTATATCCATTTCAAGCCCAGTCGCTTCCTCCTGGTCCAAGGAAAGTCCGCTGGATGCGAATATAGGCGGCCATTTCTTCAGCTGAGAAACCTGAAATAAAAAGAAAAAATCAATTAAATACAAAAAAATATACAAATAAAACAACAAAAACACATACTTACCAACCAGCAGCAGCAGCAGCAGCAGCAAAAGCATCCAAATCAACACCAATGACGCAGTCCTGCAAGGAAACCTGGAACAAATAAACATAAATAAAAAGAAGATGCAAAAATCACCAAACTACAAAAAAACACGTACTTACCTGCAGGCGGCCGGACCAGCAGCCGCATGAGGTTTGTCGTGCACTGGACAAGGAGCGCGAACATGCCACGCCCTCCACGATTCGTCACGCCATCATTCTCTTCAATTCCATACACTCCTCTGGTCCATAGAGAGTGTATTTGTTGATGGCGTGGCCAGCCACTAATCGACGATGCGCCTCTGCAGAAAAACCTGAAAATAAAAGAGGAAAACAATTAAAATAAATACAATAAAATAAAACAAACACAAAACAACTACAACAATCACTCACCTGCAGGCGGCCGGACCAGAGCCGCCTAATTATGGTCGAGTGCGACAACTTTGGACAGCTTGTCCAGAGGCACGCCAATTCCGACACTCGCACACAATCACACGCCAATTCATGCACCATCCAGGCGGCCGGACCCGAGCCGCTGAGGGTGCACATGTGTGTGGCGAGTGTCTCTCTCCATCCTCCGGTGGCCGGACCAGCGCCACTGGTCAATGTCTATCTCCACCGGAATCCAACACCAGCGGCCAGAAGTCAGCAGCAGCGGCAGCGGCAACGACATCCACCACGACGACGGCGCTGAAAAATAGGGCGCGCAAATTTGCCCGCCCCAAGTAAATTAAATTAGTAGAATCATCCGCAAAATATCACAATCACTTACCTTCCATTAAAATTTGCGGGTGATTCCTTTCCATTTATGACGTCCAGGGGGGGGGGGACGGCAGAGTTGGCCGGCATGCACACAATGCTCAGATGCGCATTGTGCACAAACATATGTCTGTCTGCTATGCCGGCCGATGCTTTGTTGTTGTCCGTCTCCTCTGAAAAAAAAAATAGCAAATTAAGATAATTATAATTAGAATTATGACACATACTATAGATCTTGACCATATTGTTATTTTAAATTGTCTCACTTAATGTCATGTTAAATGTAGTTCAGTTTTATATCTGTATCGTCTTGTTCACATTCTGTTGTATGTGGTTCTGTAGTTCATTGTAGTTTCTGTAGATTATTGTTGTCCCCAATTACTGTCCGTTTTGCATGAGCTTGTACCTCCATTTCATGTACTTACCTCCTTGTGCATTCCAAGCCATGCAGTTCATTCCCCAATCTGTTGTTAATATCTAAATTTTCCACTTACCAGACAAAGTGTTTACGCTGCGCGAAACACGGCTTGTTTTCGATTGTCACTTTTGACAGTTCCCCACCCCACCACACTATATACCCTGTAAATAACCCTAAAAAGGCCCCTAAATTTCTATGTCAACTGACGAAACAACTCAAGTGTGAATATTTATATTCACACTTGCCATTTAAAACTGCCAGCAAATGTTTCGGCAAATTTGTATTGCGCGGCAATTTGCCTGCCATTGTCTGGAAAATATTAATTTCGGACTCTGGCAGGCAAATTGTCGCCAGCCGCCACGGCCTAATATGTGTGAATTTTTCATTATTATTTTTGTCCCGTATTAGTGCCAAATATGTTTCCGTGTCGTTACATATGCCAGTACCGTCCCCTCATATATTGCCCGACCCACATGCACCTACGCTGCATTCCTAGTCACCTGCCTTCAGCAGGTGGCAAGGGTAAGAAAGGGGTCGAAGGACACACGTGCCGCAAAATCGTCAATAACAAAATGTATGTTTATGTTGACTGCCTTAGGGTTTCTAGATGTAAATGTACAAATTTCTTTATGTATGCAAAGTCCCCCTACTTGACCATTCAATCCTGGGCGTTAGCCAAAGCACAAGTATATTTTTGACAAAATCACACTAATTCGTAGCATTCTTTTAGGCACTGCACACAACTGAAAACTGACTCTCACTTGTACTCTCCCCAATTACCCTGACCGACCGATCGACAGACACACGTACTGCGGGTATGCCGGGGGAGACCACACTGGAGTCGATCCCCTCGAGTAATTGCCTGTAGCAATATTGGCATCGCTCGGGGCATCGCTCTGATGAGTCGTTCTTGAGCCCCGGCAGCCAGCAGTACGTATGCAGCTCTGGCGAATAATTATATAATTATATTTTTCGTGTCCGCCCCCGCCAATAATAAGTGCAAGTCGAGCGGAATCGGAGTTGTGTGTGTGCGCGAAGAGTGTTTCTTGCGCGAATTGGTGTGATTTTTCCAAACAGCAATTAAACTAAAATTGCTTGTGCCCAATTATCTG